GTAAAATCAACCACGTGCGTGCGACCGTATATCCGTCCTTGTCTCGGCCTGTGCAGTCGCAGAGCGTGACGTCCGCGCCAGCGAAATCGAACGCAAGGAGACGGCAAGAGCCGGCGCTTGGAAGCCAGCCAATCGATTTCCGACTCGCGGTGGTACCATGATGGCGCCAAGGACGCGGCAACTGATAATAGCATCGGAGGACCCGATGGGTACCAGCTATGGGTACCTACGGCTAGCCGGGCCCACCGTGCATATTGCGCAGCTGATGTTCATCCCACGACAGTCAGGCATCGGTGGCCCGGATGACGTCCAGTGCATCGGGACGACTGCGATCAGCGAAAGGTACAGTAATGTACTCGGTCCTTGGATTACGTCGTCATCGGCCTTCTCGGCTACTTTCCGTTTGCAGTTCGCCCCCCGCCCGCGCCGCCAAACTTCAAGTCTACTGGAAGGGCCGCAGTCGAGTGGGGCGACGCGGGCCCGTACCACGGCGCCGCGTAACGCGGCAATGTGCTCATCGGCGCTGGGATTGGTCCAGTGTAAGTGTATCGGCCGCTGATTGGCGCATGTCCAGGATACGCTGCCTGGTCGGTAATAAAATTCTGTTTCGCCGGCATACAAACCTCTAGATAATTGGCGTCCCGCATGCTTTCCATCGAACGCGGCCAGTGTGTCACACTCGGAACGTTGAGTTTGCACCATCGCAGTGACTTTAACCTTGCGCTTTGTATGCGAGCTCGGGACAGGCGCCGTGTACCCAGACGGGGCGCCAGCTGGCTGCCGCGGGCCGGCTGATGCCCGGCAGTCAGTGCCCAATTTCGCCGCTTGGGATGATCAGTCCGCCGCCGCCCGCGCTCGTGACGCGCATGAAGAAGCGCGACGTCGGCGTGCCCAAGTTCCTGCGCTCGCTCTTCGACATGCTCGAGAACGAGAACGCCAACATCATCACGTGGACCTCGGACGGCGTCGCGGTCCAAGTGCTCGACCGCCACGCTCTCGAAACCACAGTGCTGCCCAAGTACTTTAAGCACTCCAAGTTCACAAGCTTCCAGCGCCAACTCAACTACTTTGGCTTCAAGAAGAACACGCGGTACCGGTCGCACATGTACACGTTCACGCACCCGTTCTTCCGCCAGAACCGCAAGGACCTCCTCTGCAAGATCACGCGCCACTACGGCCCGGACGACGACAACCACGTCTCGGTCGAAGAGGACGAGGCCATGGAGCGCTTCCTCGAAGCCGAGGCGCCAGCCTCCGACGACGCGCCCTTCTCGGTGGACCCGATGCTGCATCTCAACGAGCAGGACATGGAGGTGCTCCGCGAACTGATAGAGCCCGAGAACGCACCGTCATCACCGCCACCGATCGACGACTACCACCTCCTGCAAACCCTCACGCACTTTCCCGGGCTTCTCGACGAGGCCAAGCGACCGCCGCCCAGCATCGCGCTCGACGCCGCCCTCACCGACAGCATCATCCACGATTTGAAAGAAGACCAGCCCTGGCAACCGCCGCTGCCACCGCACCTTTCGCTGCAGCGCCGCGCCCCAACGCCGACCCAGGGCCCGATTCGCGACGACGAGTTTGGCATGCTCTTTGAAGCCGCGTCCATGTTCTTATAGCACCCTCCTGTTCCTTACTCCAGTAATCTATATATATTAGCTCCGACAATAATTGCGCTGGTGGTAATGCTGTGGTAACGTGGTTGCGACATGCACGCAGAGACGGATCCTGAAGAGACACGTCGTGTTTTGCAATCAATTTACGCTCGCTTGAGGAACTCGAAGAGCACTTGGACGCCAAAGCCCGTGGCCCCCGCAGGCATGTACGAGCGCTGCGCCGAGTAATTGGACGGACCTACGAACCGATATATCGTCAAATGATCGAGTTGAAGGACCGACCCGCAATGTCGACGTGCGCCCAAGCGACGTCCTTGTCCACAAACTGCTGCAGAAAGGCGGCGGCCGTGCAGGCACCGCCGTACCGACCCTAAATTAGGCCGCCGATGGTGAATTGTCGAGGGCATCTTGGGGCGTACCGTGCCCATGCTACGCGAATCGCTCATGCTGCCCTTGAGCTCGGCCGTGTGCTCGGGCAAAATCGGCAGCCGCCAGCAGCGCTCGTGCGTTGACGCTCCCGCGTCCTAACGTTGGATGAGCTCTCAAGGGTGTGGGGCACTTCGCACGATGAGCGCCGTCGCCAGCTTGTCCGAGTTGGAGAAGAGACCCGCCGTGTACTCGCCGAGGGCGACTAAAAAATGCAGCGTGAGGCTACGGCGGCGTGGTCGCGCGTACCGATGCAAGCACCCGTGAGCGTAGCCACGTCAATGACCGTGTGCGGCGCGTAGTAGCGCTGGACGTACGAGAGCGCGTCGCCCAGCACGAGGCGGCCTTCGGCGTCCGTGTTGTTGACCTCGACCGTCAAGCCCTGCGCACAAGTAGCTCCAACGTGGACCTGCTTTCGAGTACAACGTACTTTGTGCGACTGGACGATGGTGTGGGGCTTGGCGGCCTTGGAGCCGATCGCGTTCTCCGCGAGGGCGAGCACGGCGACGACGTTCACGGGCAGGTTGGCCTAGCGCGAGGTCAAGACAGATTGAGTTTGGGCAAAGTACCTTGGCGGCCGCGCGAACGGCGCCGAGGACGGCCGCGGCACCGCACATGTCGGTGTGCATGTCCTCAATGAAGCCCGTGGGCTTGAGGTTGAGACCACCCGTGTCAAAGGTGATGCCCTACGCCCATCTGGATGCCGCGGTCGATCGTTTCAGAGACTGAAGTACCTTGCCGACGAGCGCAATTTTCTCGGACGGCGCCGACGGGTTGCCACTGTACTCGAGGATCACGAGACGCGGCGGCACAACCGCGGCCTGGCCCACGAGCGCCATCATGTTCATGCCCTCGGCGCGCAAGTCTGCGTCCTGCAGCACCTTGACCGTGAGGTTGGGCAGCTCGGCCGCCGACGCCCGCGCAATCTCCTCGACGAATGCAGGGTCCACGACGTCCGAGCGCTCGTTCCCGAGGTTCCGTGCCATCAGCGTCTCTTCCGCGACAAGGAGCTTCTCGGCCACGTCCTAGCCACACGATGCATGCACATACTGTCGACTGTGAATAGAGCTACCGAAGCAAACTCGGCGCTGGCCTGCACAAAAATGTCGGTGAGCGCCGCCTTGTCGGTCTCCTTGCTTGTCACATGACGGTCGAAGCGGTAGTTGGAAAGAAGCGACGTCTACTCACAAGAGACACTCGTCAGCGACACAACGGTGGATGCTGTGGACGGGCCTGCGTCAGGAGCTCGGCGACACGGCGGTCAGCGATCGATGCCACGGACGGCGCCTGCAAGTACGCCTGCTGGACACCCTTGGCCGAGAGCTGCGCAATGGCTTCATGCGTCGCATCGCGGAGCGAGACTTCGTCAATCTTATCGCCGAGACCCACGAGAAGCGTGCGTGGACCTGCACCAGGGTACAGTAGCATAGTCTCCTTGGCGTCGCCAGCAAAGTCGTCGAGCGCGTGCTCGGGCACGTCAATCGGCAGGGCCTTCTGGAGCGAAGCCTTGTCACCAGCCTTGGGAACGAAGATGACCTGGGCGAGCTTGGCCGCGGAGGACGGAATGGCCTCGGACGCGCTGCGGAGGTGAACGCTCCGGGCAACCTTCTGCTGCAGCCGCTGCATGCTTCGAGACAGATCGCAATAATGGGCCAACGTGTGATTCGGCAAACCGCTGGATTTTGCGCCAATCAAGAGAGATATATACAATACAATTAATTTTTTTAATGAGTAAAATCTAACTTGCTAACTGTAAGCAACTTCATATTTATTTCAAAAGAAGTCAAATACTGGAAACTAAAAGGACCCAAATTTACTCGCAATGTTGAGGCTGCAGCTCAACAATCCCTCAACGAAGTTGCGTTAAATTAAATTATCTGTTTTTAAACGCCAAAAGCAATTTCCGGTAATCTAACCGGACAGGATGCATTTTCAAAAGATTGCAAGTCGCATGCACTGCCTGGAGCTCAACCTGAGCTCGCTGCCAGCGACGACGCGACGCGCCATCCGCCGCTTGAAGCTACACCGCGAGATGCTCCAGTAGGCTCGCGCGTGTGCTTGAGACGTTCATGCCCGTGTAGACTGCCAAGCCTTATCTTGTGTGCCGGCACGAGCTTTAGCACCCCGTTCGGCTCGGCGACGCAAGAGCAACAAGCAGCTCTTCGCCGCTGCGCGCAGCATACGATAGCTGTCCGAGTGACCGGCGAGGACGTGTACGTGACTGGTACACCGATAAACGCAGTGCTTGTCAACGCGACGCCTGTGTCGAGTACGCTTATCGATCTCCGATGCCATCGACTCTGATGCAGGCATACAGGCCATACGCCACACCGTCTGGCTGATGGCGACATCATCACACTTGCTTCTGGCAACGACTTTGTCATTGCGTGCGTTCGATGCGGATTTTGCGAGGTGCGATGGCTAATGGTAGGTATGTGCTTCGCACCAACCGCGGCGCTGTCTCTTCGCCGGACCAACTCATCAACCTAACAAGCGCAAGCTCCACGACAGAGGTAACGCACACCACCCAAGGCACCTGGTCAGTCGAGACCGACGCGGGCAACGATGGCACTCTTGGAGACATGGCCAAAACCCGCGACAACGACACCGAGACGAGCCAACAAACGCTCGACCCTCCCGTTATCGCCCTTGCTGACAACAACGCTGACGAGTCCCCGATGTCCAGCGCCATTGGTGATGGCACGGCGCTGCCAGGTGAGTCAAAAATGCGGCGGTATCGCTCGTGGTTGTCCTCGGACGACATCGCTGCTCGCAAAGTTCGCCCACGCGTAGATGTGCTCGATGTCGACGCCATCGTGTACTCTCCTCAGCAGATGCCGCGCCGAAGCAAGCGGCTCGTTGCACGCAAGGAGAAAGCTCTCTGGCGCGTCTTGCATGACAGCTGCACCGTCTCGTAAAGTGAATTGTGATCGGAATTTGACGGACAGGCCACCCGTTAAAATTCCCTGGTATCTGATTGGCCAGAAAGACTCCGTGACGTGGCAATATGGTTGCGGAGTATTGAGGCAGCTCGCTATCGTAGAGTCGCCTACGCTCGAGTGGTGTTCCAAGCATCCCGTCTCCGTCGACTTGGATCGACACATAAGGCCCACTACATGGTCAAGAAGAGGCGCGCGAGGTTGTCTCGGCCGAGGCTCTCGTACTCGTCAAAGGTAAACGGGGACCTTGCTCGAGGATTGGACTTGCGTGGCAAGCAAGCGCCGAATGCCGACGCACGCTACATCATCCTTTTCATTAGGAGCTCGAAAGTGTGTGTACCTGTGTGCTAGTACACCTCCTTGATGCCATCACCGTAGCCGAGATGACAGGGCAATTTACGATCCCAGTTGAAACTCGCGAGCGCACTGCGTTGACGCGGTAACCACTGAGCGTCGACGCTATAACATCCTAATAAACCCAAGGAAACATTCTTAATTGAAGACGCGCGCTTCGTGTCCATCCGTCCGTGGCTTCCTTTAACGAGGACGGCTCATTAACACAGCGCACCCAATGTTGACCTCGCGCAGTACTAGTGCTTCTTGATCTCGCTGAGGTTGCTCTCGAGCTTCTTACGGACGGCATTGCAGTGCACATGTGGTGGGCGCCCTCAACCGTAAAGTTCTAGCAGTCGAATACCGGTACGTCCGCTGTAGCTGCCCGCTGTCGGCGCTCACTCACGTGCGCAGCCCGCCGCCTGCGGTCATTGTTCTCTGCGCCTATTCGCCAAAACTCTGCGCTTTTCTCATTTTCTTCGGCCTGTGATTGGCCAAGCATTTTAGCGGACAAGCAGCCGCTGAATTCTGTTCACGCGTCGCTTATGCTCGATTCAAAATAATACATACAAATATCCAGTCATTATATTCCTGGAGAGGAAAATAAAAATCCATGAAAGAGAATTTGACGGCTCCCTGTCCGCAAAAACGTGCAGGCCACTGTGCAGCCCAGAGTACTGTCCGTTAAAAGCATATTAATGAGCTTTTGTGGATGTTTAAGATGTACCAAAATACCGTAGTTATGAGTCAGTTTTTGCATAAGCACGGCAGCCGCTGCGGCAGCCGTACGCCAGCGCGAGTCGCGTCTCATGTGCACCACTGCAGCGTATAAACGAAGCACCATTGCCTGGCATGATTGCCCTGTAGGGTGCTCGCTTGTATGGTCACCGACAAGCCTAGCTTGGTGGGAGAGCAGATGCGAAGGGCGCTTGGCTTGAGCTGTGAACTGGAACAGAACGGCCTTCTAGCAAGTCCGGTCGTACGACGCAAAATAGTGTGATAGGCTTCGCGAGCTGCTTCTTCGTCGCGTGGCTTCGCTGCGACTTTGAGATGCTCGAGCCCAGAGCGAATGAATATGAGTCAACGCGGCTTCAAGATGCATTCTCTCTCCATTCACGAAATGTTCGATAGGCTACCTGCTGCGCAGGATGCTTTCTGTAGAAATTCGTTTTCAGGTTGTCTGTTGAAAGGTTGTGAATCTCGTATCTTGCAGTCCCAACTTCAACCTTGAAGCTGGGCTGTGGCCAATCCCAAAAGACCTCTCAGATCCGATCTTGATGGCACTTGCTGTTTGTATACCGCAATGGACGCCTACAATACATACCCTGTGAGAACGTATAATCGCCTTGTTGTGCCGCTGCTCATTGAGTGGCACGCGCAAGCCACTAGAAAAACCCTTATAAATAGATGGCAGCATAGGCTATTCTCTCATAAAGAGGGGTATGCTCATACATTTAGTTGAAACTACCCTTATGATTTGTTGAAGAAGACACGTCACTCACGCCGATTGACGCTACATTGAGGGAGTGGCCCTCGTTACGACACCTTCCAATGGTATTTAATTAGTACTTCCGCTGAAGGCGAGGGGCGACATGATGAGCTCCGAGCTGCAACCCAAGTCCCGCCCTCCGTCGCTGCCGTCGCCCTCGTCGCCGCTCGCCAAGGAGCGCACCTGGTCCGAGTCGCATGTGCTCGCAGCCGACGACGGCCATCTGCGCCCGGTCGTCGGCGAAGACCACGTCTCCGACGCCCGCTTGCTCTACCGTAAGTGGCGCACGGGCTCGGGCTCGGCAACGCTGCTCGACTCGGACCTGAACTTCACGCCGCCGCGCAAGAGCCTGACGCCGCCCGTAGACGCGCCGATGGCGAGCCTCGCCCTTGACAGCGCGCCGTCGCCGCTGTCGGTCGACAAGTTTGAGATGCTGCCATCAATCCCGGAAAAGCACGCCGACCTCGAGGCGCGCTCGCAGATGCTCTCCAACATGTTCATTGCTGAGGACGAGCTCGCCGCGCACCGCCCACGCGGGTCGTCGTCCGGCTCCTCTGCGTCGTCCATCTTGAGCGGGTCGTTCGGGAAGTCGTCGCACAACGAGTCGTCCAACATGAAGAAGTCCAAGTCAATCCAAGCCCTCTCGGACCTTGAGAAGCACAACGCGAGCTTCTTCCCTGCTGCGCCCAAGGTACTTTCTGCAGTTGTAGTAGTATCTTTGATCTCATATGCGCTTAGCCGTCCGCGTCCGGCGTCCAGCGCGGGCTCAAAGACTCGGTCATGCACGACATGTGCTGCGCCGTGGCCAAGCAAATGGTCGGCGACGCGTACGTCCCGTCGTCGAACGGGTCCAAACTCGTTCTGAACCACCTGTATGTACCTGTGCTGGAGAATGTCCAGGTAGACTCTAGGTGGCCGTGGTGCATTCCCTTCTTACGCATGTTAGAATCACTTTAAGCGGCTTCCAGCGCGCTACGCCCTCTCGGTGGACCCGGACGACGTCCCGATGCACATCCGCCTCCTCGCAAATCAGCACCGAAATCCAGACGACATTAATCTGCACGCCCATTACCTCAAAGACGATGACGGCAGGTGCGTCACACAGACTCTTAGGAGCATGCTCACGCCATCCTTAGTGTCAACACGTCGACGTGCGAGGTCGTGCTCGTGGCCAAGGACCGTGACAGCCTCCTCGATGCCATCACACGCGGCCTCTCGAGTCTCAAGGGCAGCATCATGGACGCCGATGTCATGACGACACGCGACGGTGTCACGCTCGATCGGTGCGACCATCGTGCTACAAAGTATCGCTCGCTCATGCTGCCGTAGCTTTATCGTCCGCGGGTCCTTTGTGCCGGACGACCGCCTCGCCGAGCTCAAGCGCCGCATCGTGGAAAACCTCGAGCGCAGTGCGCAGGCCGCGGAAAACTCGGAGCGCGAGCGGCAACGACGGCTTGCGCAGCAGGCCGTGCCGCCCCCGGCCCCGGCCCCGACGTCGTCGACGAGCATCACCCTCGACAGCGACATCAAGCCCGAGTGGCAACTCTCCTTCTCAGAGCTGCACCTCGGGTACGTCCTCCGTGAGAAGAGTATTTTCTGCACTGTGCTCTGTCTAGCGACGCGATTGGGACTGGCCGGTCGGGCCAGACGTTCAGCGGCATTTGGCGCGGCACGTTCATCGCCGCCAAGGTCATCAACGTGTCGCACCACAACCAGAGTCTGAGCGACGAAATCCTGAGCGAATTCTACCGCGAAGTCGCGGTCGTGAGCCGACTGCGGCACCCCAACATCGTGCTCTTCCTCGGCGTCGCCATCAACCCGCCCAAGTACTGCCTCGGTACTCGGCCCTCCATGTGTCTAGTCATATCACTCATCAGCGCACTGCTAGTCTTTGAGTTTATGCAAAGCGGCGCGCTCACCGACCTCATTCGCCAGCGCAAGCCGACGCCGATCGACTTTTTCCGCATCGCTCGGGAGATCGCCATGGTATCGAGTTGATCGACGGGTCGCCCGGCCAACACCACTGCTAGGGCATGAACTACCTCCATCTGTGCTCCATCATGCACCGCGACCTCAAGTCGGGCAACGTGCTCCTGGACGCCTACGGCACGGTCAAGATCTCGGACTTTGGGTTGAGCTGCGTGCTCGAGATCGGCCACTCGTCCGACTTGACGGCCGAGACGGGCACGTACCGCTGGATGGCGCCCGAGGTCATTGGCCACGAACCGTACTCGATGAAGGCCGACGTGTACAGCTACGGCGTGATTCTCTGGGAGATGATCGCCAAGGAGCAGCCGTTCAAGGGCATGTCGCCGATCCAAGGTACCGTACCCGGTACCATCATCCAACTCATCAAGATCGATAGCGGCGTTCGCGGTGGCGCGGCAGCAAATGCGGCCGCCGTTTCCGAAGGACACCCCCGAGAGTCTCATGCAGCTCGTCGAGACGTGCTGGCACCAGGACCCGGCGCAGCGCCCGACGTTTGCGCAGATCCTCGACGTGCTTCCGGCCGTCCGCGCGCAGCTGACACGGCGCGACTACCACGGCCTCAATTTCGTAGCCCCGACGCCGCCGACGCTCACGCGGTAGTAGAAACGACGAGATTACTAAGTTAATAGTGCTACGCCACGAGCTTGAGACCGGTCAGGAGCGGGTGGCCGGCGCACATGAGCTCGTCGCGCCGATGGCCCTGAAGGAAGCGGCGCGAAATCTGCGTGCAGCCGTACAGGCGCAGGACGCTGAGCTCCTTGCACACGTCGGTGAGGAGCCCGAGGTCGGCGTCGCGAATGTAGCGACAAAACGACACGTCCAGTTCGCGCAGCCCACTCGCACAGTGCGTCGCCAGCGCCGTTAGCGCGGCGCCCGTGAGTTCCTAGCGGCTCCATGACGCGACAATGCAGTGTGTCGAGGCCGTCGTACCGAGACGCTGGAAATGTCGAGCACCTCGAGGTGCTGGTTGGCGCTTAGAGCCAGATCCGTGATCCCCGCGTCCGTCACGAGCATGCAGCGTCGCAAGAAGACGCGGCGCAGCGTCAGGCCGTGCGACCGTACCTATGCCACAGCCGGTCGCTCGCTTGGCGTCAAAGAGCTAAAAGAGTATTGTACCGCGGCAAAGGTCACGTCCGTGAGCAAGACAACGTCCGTCACGTCCAGGTGCACGAGCTTCGGGCACTTGGCAATCACGTGCGCGAGGCCGGCGTCCGTGAGTTGCGCGCAGCGGGCGAGCGAGAGCTCTTCGAGCGTCGCGAGGTTCGATTTGTCGCCAAAGAGCATCTCAAGGAGGCCGTCCGAGGCCTTGTCGAGCTGGATTAGCGTGAGTTTCCGCAGCTGCGTGAGGCCCGCGAGCGGCCCAAAGTCGGCGTCTTCAAACTGCGGGCACTCGGAGAGCGAGAGCGTGTGCAGGTTGCTCCAGCCGCTAATGCTCTCGATGCTCGCCCTCGAGATGCGCTGGTTGCTGCTCAATTCGAAGCTCTCGAGCGCGTCCGAGCACGTGGCTTTGAGGAACGCTACGCCGTCGTCCGAGAGGCGGTAGCAGCCGTCGAGACGAATCTCTTCGACGGTCGAGAGCGCCACCCTATACATCGAGCCACACGATGATAAGACAATGCGCCAATACATGACGAGGCTACTTGAGGTTGTCGAGGACGCGGTCCGAGATGCAGCGGCCGCAGATACCGAGCTTGAGAATGCTAAAGCGTGTTTCGATCTGCTCCTCCTTTTCGATTTTCTGACAGGCTTGCAGCGCCGACACGAACGACATTTCATCCAGCATCGAGCAGTCAGGGATGTCGATCTCCATGACGCCAGGGTAGATGAAGAAGGGCAGCACTAGCGAGGGTAGCGTGAGAAGACGACGAATCGCGATCGGGCGTACCGGATGCGTCCAGCTTGCGGTCCTGAGCCACCAGCGTCGCAATCTTGGCGCGCGACAACTGCAACGACCGTTCGCCCATGTACTCGCTGTACTGCTGTTGAAACGAGTGGATCGAGCGCGCAATGACCTTGCACGTGAGGTCGACGAGCGACGGAACGACCATCGCTTGAACGCGCACGAGCGACCGCGTCGGTGTCTTCGGCTCCCAGAGCGCGAGGTCTTCGGCCGCCGCCGCCGCCCGCTTCTCGATCTCCTCTTGGCGCTGCGCCTGCGCGGCCGAGCGCCCACGGTCGAGGCTGTACGCTGTGTTGAACATGCCCGGCCACTCTTCGGCCGACGACGGCGCGACCTCGACGGGCGCACTGATCGGCGCCGTGGACCCCGTCGCAAAGTAGGTCGCTCGAGCCGCCGTCACGACTGCGTGGCCGCGGCCCCGCGGGGCTTCGCCGTCGACGCGCGCGCGCTGCGGCGGCGTCTCGGTCGGCTCGTTGGCTTGGGCGCGGCGACCTCGCTTCATGCTGCGCGATTGGCAAATGTGGGATCTTCCCCAACGTTCATTTCCGTGGTATCTTTTCCGGATGGCATCAGTATACAAACATCAAGAGAAACGTCTCCAAGGCTTTGCGAGCCAAACGGCAGCCACCGCCGCTTCCCGCCAAAATACCGACTCTCCTCCATCTCAACGCTCTCCGAACCCATGCGACTATCCGATGTATACTATCTGCTGGATAGGTTAGGGATTAAAACAAAAAAAACTTTTGCGTCATCGGCAAGGTCGACGCGGCGGCGCACGTGAGCAGCTCGCCGTCGGCCGTCACTTGGTACGTCTCGGGGTCCACGCGGAGCTTGGGGAGGCAGTCGTTGAGCTTCATGTCGCGCTTGGTGACGCTGCGGCAATGGCGCACCGGCTCAATGTGCTTGGAGAGCCCGTACTTGGCGACAACCCCCTTGTCGACCGAGGCGCGGCTCACAAACGCGATCGAGGTCGGACCGACGGCCTTCCCGAGGGCGCCAAACATCGCGCGCATCTTGACGGGCTGGGGCGTCGGGATCGACGCGTTCGGGTCGCCCATTTGCGCGTAGACGATGACGCCGCCCTTGAGCACCATCTCGGGTTTGGTGCCAAAGAGGCTCGGCTTCCAGAGCACGAGGTCGGCCCACTTTTGCGGCTCGACCGACCCGATGAGGTGGCCCATGCCGTGCGCGATCGCGGGGTTGATCGTGTACTTGGCCACGTACCGCTTGACGCGAAAGTTGTCGGCGCCAACGTCGTCGCTAAGCGGGCCGCGCTGCGTCTTCATCTTGTCGGCGGTCTGCCACGTGCGCGTGATGACCTCGCCGATGCGCCCCATCGCCTGCGCGTCCGACGAGATGATGCTACGTCGCTTGTAGACGACGTTATGCACAGAAAAAGTCTACCTAATGGCGCCCATGTCGTGCAAAATGTCTTCGGCAGCGATCGTCTCGCCGCGGATGCGCGACTCGGCGAACGCCACGTCCTCGGCGATGTTCTTGTCCAAGTGGTGGCACACCATCTAAAACGTGGATGATCAGTGCAAACCAACGTGGAGACCACGTACGAGCATGTCGACGTGCTCCTCGATCGTGTTTTTCGTAAACGGGCGCGTCGGGTTGGTCGACGACGGAAGCACGTGGAGCTCGCCGCAGACAGTGATGATGTCGGGCGCGTGGCCGCCACCCGCGCCTTCGCTATGGTACGTATGGATGGTGCGGTTCTGAAAGGCCGCGATCGTGTGCTCGACGCAGCTCGACTCGTTGAGCGTGTCTGTGTGGATCGTCACCTGCACGTCGTTGAGCTCGGCCACCTCGAGCGCCGCATGGATCGTCGCGGGTGTTGTGCCCCAGTCCTCGTGCAGCTTGAGACCGACAGCGCCGGCATCGATGATGTCCTGAAGCCCCGTGTGCGACGCAGAGTTGCCTTTGCCCGTCAAGCCCACGTTGATCGGGATCCCGTCCGTGGCGCGCAACATGCTTTGCAGGTGATCGGGGTGCGGCGTGCACGTCGTGGCTTTCGTGCCCGTCGCAGGTCCCGTGCCACCACCGACGAGCGTCGTGAGACCGCTACAAGATCGCTGTGGGTACATACGTTGGCAGTAGCTCGACGCACCTCGCCAACGCCTCCTCGCAGAGCTACACAGAGTACATGACAGCACCACCTTGGAGGCAGATTAGTACCTGCGGACAAATAAAGTGCACGTGCGTGTCGACGCCACCAGCCGTTAGAATGAGATCGCGACCAGCAATCGCCTCGGTGTTGACGCCAATTACCATGTTGGGGTCGACGCCGTCCATGACGTCGGGGTTCCCCGCCTTGCCGATCGCCGAGATCCGGCCGTGCTTGATACCAACGTCAGCCTTGTAGATGCCCGAGTAGTCGACGATGACGACGTTCGTAATGACCGTGTCGAGGACGTCGGCGGCGCAGCGGCCCGTGGCCTGGCCCATGCCTTCGCGCAGGACTTTGCCGCCGCCAAACTTGCACTCGTCGCCGTAGACCGTGTAGTCTTTCTCGATGCGAATATGAAGCTCCGAGTCGCCAAGGCGGAGAATGTCGCCCGTCGTCGGCCCAAACGTGTGCGCGTAGTTGCGTCGGGACATGCGGCAAGGCGTCGGCGGCGTCGGCGGCATCGACAGCATTGGCGCGTGGTGGAAGCCTTTCTGCATGAGCGACGCCACGATTCCGTCGACGCGCGACTCGTCAACGGGCCCCGACGCGAGGTTGTTGCCGCCGGTAATGATGCGGTGGCCACCAATGGGCACGGTGCACACGAGTTTCGAGTCACCGGGCTAAGCGCAATGGGAGATGCAGATATCGAGCAAGCTGACTGTACCTCAAAGCGCACGGCGGTGCCCGACGGGATGTTGAGACGCTGGCCGTACGCGCGGCCGCGGTCCATCTCGAGAAGCGGATTGGTCTCGATCAGGTGGAAGTGGCTGCCGACCTGAATGGGCCGGTCGCTGAGGTTGGTCACGCGCAGATGGCGCATCTCACGGCCGGCGTTGAGCACGACGTCGCCGTCCATTGGAATGAGCGACTCCTTCTTCAAAGGTGCGTACGCGCCAAAGACGGCGAGGTCGGGCACGGGCAAGAAGGAGCCGTAAAGCGCGAGGGCGAGGTCTCCGTCGACGCGGCAGATCGGACTGTGCACCGTCACGAGCTTCGTCCCGTCAGGGAACGTTCCTTCAATCTGCACGTCATGTAGCATCTCCGCGACGCCGTCCAGGACCTGGCGAAACCCGAGGAGCGTCTTCCCGAGGCTCATGAGCTCGGCGACCGACTTTCCGTCGCGAATGAGCTCGAGCATTTGGGTGGCAATGAGCGCAATTGCCTCGACGTAGTTGAGGCGCAGGCCCCGCGCGAGCCGCTTCTGCGCAAGGACGCCGGCCTGGTGCAGGCGCAGGTGGTCTTCTTCCCGGGGGCTCAGATGCATCTTTCGAATTGACTGGAGCGAAGATCGCAACAATCCGGATACGAGAGTTTTTCCCATTGCCGTGCCGTGTGATACATTGGGACAAACCCACATACGTGTGGCGTTTCTGAGCTATTTGCCCCACGAGGACGTGGGTAAATCCCAGGACTTGCGATCCTGCGTTGAGGAAGGTTCCTGTGGAGGAAGCTGGGGAACACGGAATCGGAACATTCAGGTTAGACTTAGTCGTGGAGGTACTCGCGGTGGCGCATGGTCACAAATGGAAACTTGAACGCAGTTGGCTGCCCCCGATGCGGCGCCTCCAGCTCTGGCGCCCACTGAAACGCCGGCTGCTGCTCCGAGGTCGGTCCCAGGATCGCGTCGCACTCCAAGTTTAGACCGCGCTGGAAGGACGACACCTTGGAGTCGATGCCTCCGTGGAGCTTGAACGCGCTGCCGTGCGCAAGGTCATAGCGCGCGGCAATGGCCCACGCCGGGTTGCCCTGGGAGAGCGGGTCGTTCTCGTAGTCGTTGTACCTACGATCGTTCAACAGTAGGTCGCAAGCAAATGCTACTACCGCATAAGGTGCTTGAGATCTTCGAGCGTTCCCACGCGAGGGGCGTCTCGGCGAAAAATCTCGGCACGTGCCGTGTGGTTGTACGTCCAGTCGGAGCTCCTACAGGCTGCCACGTCATTGGTTGTGCCAACCGTCGCGAGCCAACCGTTGCGCATCGAATTTGGCGCGAAAGCCCGTCGCATTGTAAATGGCGGGAAAGTACGGGACGTTGTACGACGCCCAGTAGCCTTGGTCGCGCAGCACATGCGTCATGTCACTCGATTCGACGGCGCCAGGCATCTGCTCGAGGATCGTGAGGCCGCCGTCGGCCAGTCCGACGCCGGGCGATAACCGGTGGAGATCGAGTATCATCCACTGGTTGTTGTACGTGCCGCTGTTGTGGCGCCCAAAGGTGTCGGCCCACGTCGGGCCGTCGGTGGCGAGGGCGTTGGCGACCTTGGACCTACGGAATGGCACGTTGACGACACGGGAGTGTCATCGTGACTACCGCATCCACGAGAGCACGCTGCGCGTCGAGAGGTGCTCGTATAAAGTCTTGTTGTAGACGCCGTTCGTCGTCTCGAGCACGGCGAGGCCGCTGTCCAAGAGGTACCAGTCGTCGACCGACGAAATGTACCCCGGGCTCGATGACATGGAGATGCGTCTGCGCGCGCCACCTTCGGGCAGCGGCACGTCGTAATGCTTGAACATCTTGTTCATCGCCGAGAAGATGTCCCACGTCGTGTGGCCCCACAAAAGGTCTGTCGCGTTTGGGAGCAGCCGAATCAGCGCCGAGCACTTGAGGTTGGTAAGCTCCTCGTACAATGACGCGCCTTCGTCATCGCCTTCTTTGTGGACGGCGGCGTCGGTCGCATTGATCGCCGGAATCAAGTCTTCGAGGTCCCCGTCCGAGTTGAGAAAGAACAAATCGGCGACGGAGAGCGGGGTGCCAGCTCCGTGGTCGTTGTAGCCGTCGGCCAAGCCCTCAATCTGCGCAAAGATACCACCGAGCATACGCCAGTAGCGCAGCGTGTTGAGGTCCTTGTGCGGACCTTGCATTTGCGCCTGGAGGTACGCGACGTGCTTTTGCAACCAATGGGCAACCTTGGCCGGCGCGATCGTGTCGTTGCCGTAGAACGACTCGTACGTGTTGAGGTAGTGCTCTTGGATGCGCGCATGGGTCAGCGCCCCCTCGGCGTACCCTGCTGCGTACATGACAGCAGACAAGTCGCGGTCGTCGTGGGCCGGCGACGCGGCGCGGACCCAGAGCTGCGACCACCCAATGGCTTGGACGCTGTCGTTGAACGTCGCGTACGCGTACGCGTCTTGGGCGTCGTAGCGCACGCCAAAGGTTGCAACAGCATTGTACCCGCGGGGGCTCGACGCGTTCGGCGCCAAATCGACGCGCACTGTCGCGAGCGCTGGGGGCCGAAGCAATGGCAACTGCTCGTCGGACGGTTGAAAATATGCAAGCAAGCACGTGGCCGCGATGCCGAGCAGGACGACCCAGCGGTGCTGCGGTCGGCTGCGACGGGCCGTGGCCACGAGCGGCTGCAACTCGTGCGTCATTTTCAAGTGTGAAGTCGCGATCTTGTTTTTCGAACGTTCCGGTCTTCGAAAATGCGACGAGCCAAGAAGGCAACGTCGACATTGCTCCAGGACGTGTGCATAGCTCCTGTCCTCCCAGTGTATGTGGCCAAGTGCGTGTAAGAGGTCTTTGCGAGGAGGATGCGATTGCGTGGCAACGGGACTCGCTCGTTTAAAAAAAGGCGGCGAAAAGATCCAAAATCGAGCGAAGGGGCGTCGAGAATGGCGTCGGTGGTCATGGAGCTCGAGCACGCGATCGGGTTCTCTGGGATTCCCGCGGGTCTGCACTTCCACCCGAACGGTGCCGAGTATGTCTACCCCGCGGGCGGCTGCATCGTCATTGCGTCGCTCTCGGACCCGCACAACCAGGTCTTTCTGCGCGGCCACGACGGCAACATCTCGGCCCTCGCCATGTCGCCGACCGGCGGCCTCCTCGCATCAGGACAGTACGGATCCAACTCGGACGTTCTCGTGTGGGACTATGCTGCGCGGCGCCTTCTCCACCGCTTCTCCGAGCATGACTTTGGCATCAATGGTCCAACTGTTTGTCAGGTCATACGGGGCTCAATCTGCAGCTGTAGGTGTCGCCTTCTCGCACGACGAGAGACTCCTCTGCACCGTGGGGGCCGAGCGCGACGGGCGCATCTTTATATGGGACCTCGAGACTGGCAACATTGTCACCACGCAGCAGAAGCTCCAAATGAACGTTCTCGCCGTGACCTGGGGCGGCTTCCATCGCGACGTCAAGCGGCGCGACACGACGTCGTACCTCTTTGCGACCGGCGGTGCGCGCATGCTTACGTTCTGGGTGCTGAACCCAGCGTCTGGGGAGCTCGCGCCAGCCAAGGTCGAGTTTGGCGCGCCCGTTGTCCGCGACTACACGTGCGTACAGTTCACACCGGATCGCGAGACGCTGGTAGCTGGCACGACCAGCGGCGACTTTGCCGTCGTCAACGTCAAGACGCGCCGGTTTCTCCACAGCATCTCCGCGTGCACATGCGGGGTCTCGTCGATCGTGGCGCTGGACGCGGGTGTCCTCGTCGGAGGCGGGAACGGCGACGTTCTTTACTTCAACCACGATTATGTGGACTCGGCCAAGGTCGCGCTTGTCGGGCCAGTCTCGGGCCTCAGTCTCGCCGCGTACATAAGCCGTGGGTACTCAGTCATTCACGGAGCTGCTTAGGAGCACGGTTGGGCGGCCAACGCTCGAGCTTCTCGCGGGAACGCAGCACGGGAACATGTACCATGTCAAATTTACAGCGGCAAGCGGCCAGCTCACCTCGGCGCTCTTGTGCGAAAACCACTTCCGCGGTGTGCTCGCCGTCGCCTTTGCGACAGAGTCGGACCGATTCGCAACGCTTGCGTCCGACTGCACTGTCCGCATTTGGGACGCCTCCGACTACTCGGTGGTCGTTGCCGCTTCGGTGCACGACGCCGGCATGCCGCATTGTCTCGCCTACTCGCTCGGTACGCGACCTCGGTTGTACTTGCGATTGAGGTGTTGGCCTAGACATCTTGCTCACGGGATGGTCGGACGGCTGCATTCGGTGCCACGGCTCCGACAACGGGGATTTTCTCTGGAGCATCGACAATGCGCACACGGGCGGTGTCACGGCGCTTGCTCTCAGCAACAACCAGGTGCCGAGTAGCGTGGTCTATCTCCACCTCACAAAAGGTTAGCGCTTCATTGTGAGCGGCGGCGCTGGGGGTGACGTTCGCGTCTGGGACCTCCGCAAGCGCGACATGGTCTCGCACCTCAAGGAGCACTCGATGACGGTGTCGGGCCTCGCCCTCTTTGACGACGACGTGCACCTTCTCTCTTGCAGCCGCGACAAGTCGTTCTTGTGCTGGGAGCTGCGCTCCGAGCGGCGTATCTCGTCCCACATCCAGCGCATGGGCGGTACGCGTTGGCACAATGGCGTTTCCTGCACAAAATCCGTAGGCCTCAACGCGGTCGCTCTCTCGCGCAACCAAAGCATCGTGCTCACGGTGGGGCAAGAGAAGCGCATTTCGTTTTGGGACCTCCGGATCGAGACGCCGATCAACATCATCACCAAGGTTCTCACGGGCCATCTGCACTCGTGCCAATGCTCTACTAGGCGCATGTGGACGAAGCGACGTGCATTGCTGTGGCCCACGCACTGCCACTGTTTGCAACGGGGGGCACGGACCAGGTGGTGAAGCTCTGGTCCTTCGACACGGGTGGGTCGTCGTAATGAGGAATCGCGTGCTGCAGTGGTACGCGTAGGCGCGCTCTTGGTCGACGGGATCGGGCACTCGGGCAGCGTTCGGTCGCTTGCGTTTAGCCCGGACGACCGCCAGCTCGTGACGGTCGGCGACGAAGGCGGCATCTTCGTGTGGAACATTTACACCGACGGCGTTGGATGCTAGGTTATATAACGACTATTACTCTAACTCGACGCTCTGCAACATGTCGAGCACTTGATGGAACGTCGGCCGCTTGTCTGGGTCCGGTCCCCAGCACACGGTCATGAGCTTCTTCAGGAACGGCGGGCACTCGGGCGGGATCGTCGGGCGCAAATTATGGTTGAGCACGCCGAGCGCGGCCTGGATCTGGCTCAGGCCGTCGTATGGACACGCGTGCGTCACCGTCTCCCAGAGGACGATGCCAAACGAAAAGACGTCGGCCTTCTCCGTGTATTTGGCGGCATTGAGCACCTACGAATCGCGTGAGCCACGTGAGTGGTTTAGGGACGCAAGACCTCGGGGGCCATCCACTGCGTCGTGCCACAGTTGCCCGTCATCGTTTGCTGGTGCGCCTTGACGCGCGCAAGACCAAAGTCGGATATCTTGAGGCCAAAGTCATCGTCGACGAGCAAATTGGGGCTCTTGAGGTCCCGATGGAGAATCGGTGGGTCAAAGGTGTGTAGATAGTGCATGCCTAGGGCCGTGTCCCTTGCGAACCTACTCCACGTGAGTTCATTTCATCGATGTATCATCCTGTGGAGCGTACCGAAGTTGCTTGGCGTAGTCGATCGAGACGGGCTGGCGCAGGACGCACCACAGCGACCCCATGGGAATGTACTCGACAACGAGACACCGCGTCGGTGGGTCGAGACACGCTCCGAGTAGTCGGCAGATATTGGGGTGACTACGAGACTGGGTATGAGCATCGAGTGGAACGAAGGCGCAGCTGAGAACGGACCGGAGGACGCTCATAATGTGCACTTCCGTTTCAAACTCCTCGAGAATGTCGGGCGTGAGCGTCTGGCACTGCAAGATCTTGACAGCGATCAGCGTATCGCGCCAGATGCCTTTGTGCACGGTGCCGAACGCGCCTTGGCCGATGAGTTCGCCGAGCGCGATCGCGCCAAAGTCAATACGAAAGTTGAACGACGCACCGCGCGACGGCCGCTTCTCCACGTGACTCGTGCGGTGCAGTGCGCTTGCTTCCGCGGGCCTCTCAATCGGCGGCGGTTTGGGCGCGACGTGCAGCGGCATGTGCAAAAAGAGCGGGATGTGTGCTTGGCGAGCGACTTCCATCTGCATCTGCGCCGGCTGCTGCTGCTCGGGCATTCCAAAGGGCCGCTTCCCGTGCTCGTCGAGCGGTGACGCTTGGCGATGCAATGGTGGCGCCATCGGTGGCGGGAACGGCATCGGCTCCCGCAGCGGCGCCCCAAACGGAGCCGATGGCCGCGTCGATTGGCTCTCGAGGTGCAGGAGGCTATCGGTCTCCGAGGCAAAGAGATCCATCTCACTCTTTGTGGGCGAAACCACGATCGGCGTGCCCTTGACAAACTCGTCGACGGTCCGGTACGGTTGCCGCGGCCGCGTCGGACTCAAGACCCGCGGTTCGGGCTTGGCCGCCCGTCCAAACGGCCGGTTCGTATTGCGCTCATCTGTATACGCAGTGCCATCTTCGAGGTTGCCACTAAACGGATAGCCTTGGCTTGGCTTGGCAGCGTAAAACTTTTCTTCCGGGATGCTCGTTTCGATCGCGAGTACCGTGGGCGTGTCCTGGGGCTTTGGCGGCTCGGGATGGCCGCTCATCGAGCTATGGGTTCGTCGGCGCATCGGGTGCTGGTAAACGTAATGCGCGGGACCCGTCGCCTTCTTAGGGACGACGACAGGCGGCTGCTTGACGTCCATTGCGATCGAGGCGCTGTACTCATGGGCTGGCGGGCTATGCATCTCCTTGGCTGGGCGTACGAGCTCGAAGCCGGGCCGCTGCCGCCGGATGAACTTCATGTACATGCAGATGGCCATGCCGAGGAAGCAGAGCGACCCCGCGAGTACGTGGTCGAACATGTCGTCGGTGCGGTCGATGGATTCCTCCATCTCGCGATGGATCCGCTGAATAAGCTGTCTGGATATCGAGTTTCACGGACGTTGGGCCAAAGTGTTTTTTTCAGTTTGCATACAACAGACAAAGCAAGCCCAGTGCCAGCAACTTGGTTTAAAACAGTATGCATTTTGGCAGTTCACGATGCCACGAAGCCGCGAGCTGGCGACGCAAGAAGGCTGGGAGCTTGGTTGCCCTCGTGGAGTCTGCCCCTGCCACAGCCTCGATTGATGGGCCAAGCCATGCGGCGATGCAGATATGGGCGCTACGCTCCAGCGCTGCACGCGTCTGGGCACTAGCGGGCGCTAGTAATGATGCCTGGGCGCGTGGCCATTGACATGCAACGGCGACTCCAGCAACGCGGAATGCGGCGCCAGCTACGAGCACCAAGCAGTGCGCTGTGATAGCTTCGCATGGCTCTGTGTCGCAAAATCAGTGTCTGTACACCCCTCGGCTTGCTCGCAGACGAGACTTGGCTCATGGCACCATAGGCCAAGTAATGTCCTTGCGGCGGTGGTCGACCGACTTGCCATCGCACACCACAGCATGATCGCACAGCATCCTTGCCACCAATGGGACAAGACGACGCAGCTCAGCAAGAGTGATGGGCGTCGTGACGATCCGCACACGCACGGCATGATCGGTGTTCCCGATCCAGATCTGGTTTACCCGTCAACCCACAAGCGATGTTGTGCGCTACGCCACTGGTCGTACCGTCGCCAAAAGACGTACATGTTGAACGTACGGGCCGGGTATTGCGGTGCTTCCCACCCATCTTCCGTCGAAACCCCACGCTTCTGGCGCAAACGTTCTGGACATTGCCCCCAACAATCCACTCAAATCTCCAACCGGGCCGCAGGTCGAACGAAGAGCCATCCAGTCCAACTGGTTTCATTCTCTACAGCGTCTCGCTGCTTAGTGTCTTTCTCTGGGCCTGCATTTAATACCCCTAAAGAGTTGTGAAATCGCGATTTGGCCACAAAATTTGGGGAGAACGACGAGCTTAGTACGCATGAACGAGCTCGTACTCGGTGGCTTTGGGCGTCGCCAAGCGGCGGGGCGTCAGCGTCGAGAGCTCGTGGCCGTCGCCGCCGAAGAGGTCGACGGCGTTGGCGAGTCGCGACACGACGTGCTCGTCGTACGCGCGCGTTTGGTAGTCGACGTGGACGAACGCGCGCTCGACGTCGTCGAGCTGCTCAATTTTGAATTGCAATTGGAGCGAGATGTCGTGTGCTTGCTTTACCGTCATCGTAGCGGGCGCCACGACCTCGAGCTCGACGAGGTACTTGTTGCCAAAGTGGTAGGCGCGGATGATGTCCAGCGCAAAGCTCGCATGGTGGTTGTCACAGAGCTCCTTGACAACGTCGATAAAATCGGGCGACGCCGAGACACCGACGAGTTGCAGCACTTGCTCCTTGGCCGTGCGCACCCAGATGACGAGGATGGCGAGAAAGATGAGAATCGCGCCCGCGGGATCAATGTACCACAACGACGGGTCCGACGCCGCAATCGCGTACACGATGATCGCAAACGCGTTCGAGACCGTGTCGTTGATGTTGTCTTGTTGAATCGCCTTGACCGAGCTCGACTGCGTAATCCTCAGTGCAAAGCCAGCGTAGATAACGAGGCCAATCTTGATGGCGACGGCGCACGAGCAGATGACGATCGCGGTCGTCGACATGACGGCCCCATCCGGCTCGCCACTCGCAAAGCCATCGTGCAGGCGCATGCTCGACTCGTAGATAACGATGACCGAGATCACACTCATGATGGTCGCCGACAAGACAACGAGGATGGGCTCGAAGCGCGACGTGCCGGCGGGGAACTTGGCCATGTCGGGTGCATTCGAGGCTTGGTAGTTGGCGTACCATAGGAGGCCCTGGACGAAGAGGTCGACTACGTTCTCCATGAGCGCCGAGATGAGCGCGAGCGAGTGGGACGAGAAGACGACGATCGCCATGCTCGTGACGATCGCGACGTTCGTCAGGACGGAGAGCGTCACGACGCGCGTCGCGTGGTCGACGGCCATTTCGACTTTGCCGTTCCGGAGAGAATTGCCAAATACGCCTAAGATCGCACTCGTCTTCAAGCCGTTTGATTGGTCAAAATCCAGGCGACCGTCGTCGTGGATCAGAAATGTGTTGCCAAGAGGTTTTCATTGTCACAGGAAGCCAATGAAGGCTTGTTCGTGTTTCTTGGAGGGCTCACTGTCTCCAGGTTTTGCACCAGTTTCGTTCCGAGGTCCTGTGGATTCAATGCTTTCGCCAGTGCTAACAGTCACACGACCAAGAACGATTGGTTATCTGAGTTCCGACGGTACACAAACCTCGAGGACGCCCCCAAAGAGCAATATAGAATCATAGGAGCGAATGCATAACGACAGGTTTTGTAGTCGCCAACTTATCCGCCTTTAGGTCTGGGAGGGTTAAGGTTTCCTCGTCTGACGAGTGGAAGCCACTTGATCATGGGTGCAGTCGATCCTTTGCACATTCCTGACAGCTAACACCACCAAGCACATCCACCGAGCAAATATCAATGGGTTGCAGGCTGGGATCGCTTGCAGCCTACACCACAAATGACAAGCAACAAAAGTGAGCAGTTGTCAATGAAATCCGCAGGTGCATTTGAGCTACAAGTATCACCTTGAGACGGACCGGAACTAAGCTTAGAGTTGTATGCTCGTTGCCAGAAAGAGACCAATAAAATGAGCGCAATGGGCAAGAACATCATTCAGCATATATTCCGTTGGTGGAAAGTTAAGCTAAACAGTTCGACAAGTACTCGCGAAAGCGGCATCACGACAACGACTTCAAGTAGAAAGGGTATCCTTCAGGGATGGAGTACGCTTAGAAGCGGAGCGACGGCTTGGTCGGGGCCGGCGTGGGCTTGAGCGTCGAGGCCACGGGCGTCGAGGCAGCAGGCGTCGGCAACGGAGTCGAGGCAGCCGGCGTGGGGGCGGCCGTGCCCTTCGAGACGACACAGCCGTAGGCACCTGAGGGGATCTTCTCGCAGACCGTGTCGGCGGGGGCAATGCACTTGCCGCCCTCAGTGTAGCTCTTGAGGTGCTTGTGGCAGTCCTTCGAAGCGAGGTCACCCTTCTTGGGGCACTTGGTGCCAGCGGGAAGGAGGCCAGAGCCCGAGCAGATGGGACCAGCAATGCAATACGTGGCATCGCCAACGACCGAGACATCCGTGCAACCGGCGGGGACCGGGTTAGGGCCGGGGGCCGGGCCAGCCGTCGTGGGCTTGGGAGCATCCGTGGGCTTCGTCGGGTCGGTGGGCTTCGGGGCATCCGTCGGCTTCGTCGGGTCCGTCGGCTTGGGCGCGTCCGTCGGCTTGTCCGTCGGCGAGTAGAACGCAGTCCAGCCCTTGATGGCCTGGTCGAAGGAAAGCTTGGCCGCGACATCCGACGTCGTGGGGCCCGTCTTCTGCGTCAGCGTGCACGGCGGCGCAATCGTGGCCATGTGCTTGGTGACGGTCGCGAAGAAGTTCTTGCAGTTGTCCGAGGCGCCGAAGAGCTTGACCGTGGCAAGGTCCTCCGGGATCCACGACGGCTTCATGAGGTTGGTCACCGGCTTCTGGATGTCCGCAGCGCACTTGGCGAACGGGCCGTTCGGGTCCGTCGCGATCGGGACAAGCGGCATGAATTGGTCGAGCGAGCACTCGACGGCAAAAGCCGACGAGGCAGCAGCGGCGAGGATGATAGCGGCCTTCATGGTAGTGGTGGTAGTGAACTCGGCGAGGCGAATGGAAAAGTGAGGTTGGTGAGAAGTCTCTCCGCTCGTGTCGTGTCAACTGCTCCGCAGGATCTACTACTGTTTCTTGTCGGCGTAAGGACCACGGCGATCTGGGTGCATACCACGTCAAAGTATCTTTCCCAGCGTGCGACGCAAGTTGGTTGTGGGTGCGCGACCATTCGCACCCATGCGTTCCACATTGCACTTTGCATTCATTAGAAAAGACGAAACCCATTGACAAACGGCGATACGAGTGAGCACTTGTTGCCTGTGTCGGCAAATCTCTCTCAAGACGTGACTGTTAAAGCAAAGATAATGCCGCAGCAGTGTCAAGGCACACAATTTCTGTGTCGAGGAATCTGGCAAGATGCGAGACAGTGGATGCTCAGGATGTGCCACCCACTGTGAAAAGCTAGCATTCCAACGGGTGCGGTGTGTGTCTGCCCGTCTCTCGGACCAGAACTTGCTTGTCGCCCTGATCTTCTTTACGAAAGAGACGCATAGGAGGAACTATGGTCTTTATGTACGAGCAGTTGGAAGAGCCGCCGCCACAAATCACCATTTGATCATTTTTGCGGCCCATCACACTCGCTGTGCGGAACGGAGCACCACAACAAGTACTCTGTGCCGGCCGCACGATCGCTGACGACCCAACGACAACAACGACAACTCAGACACCATCTGGTGCAAGATCAGAATCGCAACCCACGTGGCGGCTCAATAAAGCAACCAAGAGGTGGACTCAGATCTGAGGAGGCACGCGCAGGTGCGTCCCAACATCTTGCCCATAAGACTCACATTGCCGTTGGAAGGACGACATGGGTGATCGTACAACGACCACGACACTGCAAGCCGGCCAAGAATGGAAAATTACGAGTAGGATTGCACGGGTCGTCTGTACGATGCGACCCGAACACCGCCGCGCGTAGTTTTGTGTTTACTCCCGCCACGTGTTGAAAGGCAAAGCTATAGGATGCATCAGGCCAAAACCTGCATCCGTCGCGCCTGGTCGACTTCGTACTACAGGTTACAAGCCTCAACCGGTTCAGTGTAAATTATATCGACATACTTCAACAACTACAAGCCTCATCTTTCGGTTGCTGGAACTTGCCTCGTGATGCGCCCGCGTCGAGAGCCTGCTTGAAACCGGGCAACCCATTGTTCTCAGGGCAGTTGGCTCCATGGATACTTGCACTAGATAGGTTCGACTCGACCTAACAGTAAGTATAAAAAAGCCAAGGCCACAGTGCGCAAAGCAACACACAGAAACGGCATCCTAAACTATCGTTCCGAACCAACTTTCTAGTGTAATTTCACTAGCCTATGTGCTGCTCTTGGCATTTGCAGGGCTCGAGGCGCGAATGATGAACCGTACCATAAAGGGGTTGGACGCTTAATCTCGTCGATACGTTTGCTACTTAACGAGCATACTTATGCTCTACCTAACAGGCAACATTCCAGCCACACGTATGGAGACTTGAGGCTAGCGTTTCTTGACATGTTGCACGAGAATGAGATAGTTTGAGGCAACAAATCGATCATCCAATTTCTATATCACTACAAAGCCTCGTCACACTGCTCCAGAGTCAATGGTTAGTCATTTATTTACCTGTGTGTTTTGTGCGCCACAGACATTCATTCGCAAGCCCGTCTCGGTCACGGTGCTATGGTGAATGGGCCACACCACAGAGCTGCGTGTTGTCAAGTGTTGTGCGTGATAGCATAGGGACAAAAAGACGTTGGGATACGATCTACAGTGCAGGGAGACGACACAACAGCTCCATACTTGATGTGTCGATGCAGCATCATTGGTGGACGCTTTTGCCCGCCTCAGTGGGCGTTTTCCATCATGGCCCCCAAGGCGAAATAGACCATCTATTTCAGTGCCGTGTGCTGAACGTGCTTTGCTCTCCATCACATCGCATTTTTCTCGCTCCTTGGAACTGGGATGAAGGCGGCCCTTCTCATCGCGTTGACAGCCACGGCATCTGCAGCCAACTGCAGTGCATCCAACTTTGCCCCTCTTTTTGTTGGTGCTAGTTCGGTCAACGGTCCATTCGTTGGCTGCGCCACAGATCTCAACATCCCCGTCACAGACGTCTTGCGCTCCAACTGGATTCCTGCCGACCTCGACGCCGTAAGAGCGTTTCAAGCATCAACCAAGTGTGCGGCGTACTACTCAACGATGACCAAGTACATGGCAACGATCACGCCGCCGTGCACTCTCTATCAAGGTAGCGCCAGCATTCCGACGGACATCGCGGCCAAGCGAACGCTGCTGATGGCAATCGCGGCATGGGCAGCGCAGTACAGGGCAACCCCTGCACCTGCCACCGGCTGCGTCTACGTATCCGTAGCCGGCGACGCCACGTACTGCGTCAATGGCCCAGTGTGTGCAGGGGCTGGTGTGTCGCCCTCCGGATCGAAATGCCCCACGAAAGGCATGGTTGCGGTTCTTGGTTGCAGCCGC